CCCTGCCCGTGGTGGCCCGGCGCTGCGCTGCAGGGCCCGGGCGCTCGGGTGGGACAGCCCGGCAGTGGGACCAGGCGACGTCCGCGCAGGGCCTGGCGGCTCCGCGTGGTCCGAGGGCCGAGGAGCCCGAGGCGGCGTCCTCCCGTAGGCCCCAAGTCCCCGCCCTCTCCGCCCCGAAGGCTGGCATTTCCCAAGTTTCTGCAGAAACTTTTCTGGGCGCCGTCACTCTGACTCTTCTCTTTCATTGGTCTTTGCCATCAGGTCGTTTCCTAGACCTGCTTAGGTCCAGATGCAGCGTTGGCCTCTTTGGATCTTTTGTCCATTCCCAGGGCCCAGCAGGGCTCTATTAATGAGTAGATCAACATCAAATGTTTGTTGAATGAATGAGGGAAAATGTAATAAATGATCCGGCCATGTAATAAATGATCAAGTCGCACCCGAGGAGAAAACCCGGATTAGACACACACACTTAGCATCCTGCTCTGCGACCCTTCTGTGAACTCAGGAGTTGACGGCTCCTGCAAAAACCATTTCCTTTTTCCCACGAGGGTGAATTGAGGCGATCTTATTTTTTTCCAGGACAGTTTGCATGTAAAGTATTTTGTTTCATGGGCAGATTTCACATCCTGGTTTTTGGTTTGTAAAATGAGGTCACAGTTCTGAAGAAGCACTAGTGATGGATGTGTAGGTAGAAGTTGTTTGGTTAAAGTTTTTTCATAGATTGCTCAGTGGTTTGGGAATAACTCTTCTGAAGGCGAAGATGCTGAGAAGGAAAATAAGTTTTATGTTCTGAGTTATCCTAAAGCATAAAAAAGAACTTCAGTGTTGAGAATTATCGAACGTGACATAAAGAACCAGACTTCTGTTGTCTATATTGATGTGAAAAGCAGCAAAACAGATCCCCAAAAATGTTTCCCCCCAGTGTGGTTATTTTGGTAAACCATTGTCTGAGTAGTGTACAGTTGGTAGCAAATCATGAAACCCTGGCTTGGAAAGTCCTTTTCTAGACTACCCTTCTAACTTTTTCCTACAGTATTCCTGATATGGGCTCTCTAGCTTCAGACTGGGCAACTCAGAATTTCTGAAGCTCATGACCTCCCAGGAGAGCTCACCCCACCTTTGCAACTCTTTAGAAAAGTTTGCTTTATTGTAAAAGTAAAAAGTTGATCTCTCTGTATCTACTGTTATTCTATTCATGGAGCTGGGAGAATGAGTCTGAGGGTGGCCTTCACTTTTTTCCAGTGGATAGCCTGTTTCCTAGTCTTCCCTTCACCAGTCCAAACATCCTCTGTTCCTATAGCTGGTCCTCATAGACATGATTTTATGGCCTGCTGGCCTCCTAACTCTTCAGTTTTGGTCAGGACCCCTGCAGGAAACAGAAGGTCAACTTAGTTGGGATTTTGAAAATAGTGTAGTGAAGGGACTATGTAGAGAGGTGTGGGCAGGGTTAAGGGAACCCAGAGGGGTGATGAGGAACCTAGGGGCCAGCAGCAGACAGTGGGAAGCTCTTACCACCCCTAGGCCTGAGGGGACAAGGGGAGCAAACCAGAACCCATTGAGAGCTGGAGCTGTGGAGGGTGGGCTGCCTGGCAGGAACTGTAGCTGCAGAGGGACACAGCCACTGTGGGAGATGTGGAGGTGGAGCAGGGAGACAGGGCACAAGAGATACTCTGCGTGTTCTCTCTCTTCTTGCCCTGGAATCTCTTGTTGGTGTTTCCCATTGGCTGGACCCAGCGGGAGGTCACAAGGACTAGGGAATATGGGTGATGCAATATGTGGGGGTCAGCTCGCTTAGGGCACAGAGCAGTGCAGAGACTAGATCATAGTGGGGGAGGGGGACTGGAGAATAACTAGCAGACCCTCTCAAAGTGAGCTGCCCAGAGGTCAACATAATGCTTACTAGTCCAGTCCAGCCAGCCCAGGTGAGAACAGGGCTGTCACCTCCTTTGCTCTAGCACAGACACCATGTTCTCTTCATGCAGCTAAGCCTGCTTTTCTTCATTCTTCTGCCAGCTACTTCACGCTGTTATCTCTCATTGCACTTGCTATCTGTTTACTCAAAGACATTTTTATGTTTGTTGTTCCTAAGCCATTTCCTTCCCTATCTGAGGTTTACTCAATTGGGTTTTTGAAACCAAGTACAAGATCTTATTATCATCTGTATTATACTTAACTGTTAAGTCCTGATTCTGTCATTCAGTCTATTAGCTAATCCAGGGGATGTAAATGGGGCCCACCGTCAGCCAGCTCCAGCTGCTCGCTGCTGCACGTGGTGGTTCTGCAAGCCCAGTCAAAGAAGGCCTTGGGGTTGGTCTGAGATAACCCGCCATTGGTGCACGTGTGCTGGGTCTCAGGGTTCAGTGCTTTACCTGTCAAGGGCTCACTAACCATCACATCAGTTAACAATAAGGCTAGATTTTTCTCTGGATCCTGCTGAACTCACAGCTCTGTGCTTTGCAGAAACTGCCTTCTTCCACTTAACCCGCTAGTGTTCTAGTACCTCCCGTTCTTCATGATTCCTCAAGATCACTGACATTGGTCTATCCGCAAATTATCTCAGTGCTTTGGCATAGAATTCTCCTGGGCCCAAGGACTACCATTCATTCATCTGAGACCTGCTGTGTCGCACCGTAGGACACAAAGATTGGGAAGACAGTAATACATGTTAGTCAGAATATTTAGGTCAATAATTTCACATAAAAATGTCTTCTGAAGAATTCCTACTATACACATCAGAGAATAACTATAAGTCTCATAAAAATACATTAAAATTAGTCATCACTCCTGTGCTTTCATAAGAAAAATAACATTAGATAAGAGAGACTAGAGGTTAAAGGCATCGTCCTTGGGACCAGACACATTTGGGTTTGATTTCTGGTCTGGCCCCTTATTTATTGCTATGACTTAGGACAAGTTCTTTGTTCCTTTGAAGCCTCTGTTTTTTCATCTATAAAATGGGAATAAAAATCTCTTCCTTACATTGGAGGTTGTGAGGCTTAAATGAGATAAAGTATGTAATACGCATAGCATGGCATGAATAATGGTAGCTATTAAGAATGACAGCTCAGTTTTAAATAGTCTTTCAATTTTGAAATAGTCTTTTCATTGTGGGCTGCAGAAGATTCCACAGGTTCTGCAAATAGCCTGTGGCCCATGACTGTATGAAGCCCTTGTAGCAGTATTTTGGTCCCTTTAGAAATTAGGGATCTTTCTTTGCAAGTCAGATCCTCTTGTTTCCTAAGATGTCACATTTCAGCATTTTGAAATATCTGGGCCCATTCTCATGAGCTGTAGCTAAGTGGCTTTTGTTTTTCTCTGTGGATCTTCTCTGTTGGGTTTCTAGTCCCAATTTACATTGTACATGGCCCTCCTGTGTAGGTTCTTAGACTAGCGTTTCAGGGTCTCCTTGCCAAAAGGTCACTTTTCATCTTTCTTCCTCATGACCTGCTCTTTCCAGGAACCCCATCTTGAATTGTGTCTGCCAGCCAAAGACACCCCAAATTAGGTCAGCAGCAATGGTCATTCCTATCATTGACCCATTTATTTAAGTTATTCTGTCTCTGAGTTTTACATTTTGTCCGTGCCTGAAGTGTGCAATGAGGGCTTTAACTTAATAATTCTTATAATGGTACTAGGACTTACCACTTTGGTTCTCATTGGCTGTCCAGTGTTGTTGGGGAAAATCCCCAAACTCTGCAACACACTTAAGGTTTCTAGAGTGAACAGAGCCCTCAGCACTGCTGAGCTGTCCTCTTCTCTCCTGATCAGCTTGCATTCTCATTTCCAAAGTGCCTCATTCAAACCCTTACCACTCAAGCTTTTCCCCAGACCTTGAGATAGAAAATTGAGTGCCAAGGATGCGCTTATTCAAATTCCCTTCACTGTCCCCCCAGTCTCCCCCCATAGCTCCCTTCCTGCCCTAGTTCCTTCCAAGGAGATCCCTGCTCCCCTTGCTTGTGAGGCCATCATTTCTGCTTCCTCTCAGACCTGGCATAGCCAGATAGCCTCTTTCTCAGACCTCCAGTCTTTTTCAGGCTGCTCAGTCCTCCTAACATTCTGCAAATATGCTCAATCTTTCCCATTTGTAGAAAATCTCCTGATGCTGGTTTCCTCTTAAGCTACTCACCAGACGTCTTGAAAGAGTTGTGTGTACTGGCTTCCCTTTTCCTATCTCCTAGTCACTTCCTGATCCACTATTACCATCCTTCCACCAATTATTTGTTGAGTGCCTACTGTGTGCAGGCACCGTGCTTGGTGCTGGGACATGGCAGGGAAAAACCAGACAGAAACCCCTGCCCTCATGGAGCCTACATTCTAATAGGGAAGATAGAGAATAGACAAGATAAATTGGTAAAATATGTGTATTTTGTTAGAGTGGTAAGTGCTAGAGAATGAAATAAAGCAGGAAAGGGGGAAACGGAGTGTTATGGGATGAGGGATGGTTGGCAGTTTTAAGTGGGATGGCCAGAGAAGACCTCACTGAGAATGGTATTTGAGTAAAGACCTGAAGGAAGTGAGAGAGAACCAGATGTGTATCTTGGAGAGGTATGTGGCAAGCAGAGGGAATGGCAAATTCAACGGCCCTGAGGCAGGAGTGGACCTGGCATGTTGAGGATCAGCAAGGAGGTCACTGTGACTGGGGAAGCGAGTGAGCACAATTGTGGAAGGTGGTGAGGTCTCAGGGGTAATTAGAGTGAGGGTGGGGGCAGGTTGTAGAGGGCCCCGGAGGCCATTATAAGACTTGAGTCTTTACTCAGA